AATGTGTGTTTTCTTTACTTTAAAAACAAAGTATTTGTATTTAATTAAATATTTGAGTTTAGGGTTTAATGGGTTTTTTTGATTTTCTTCTTTAGTGTTTAGTTTATTAATACTGCATCGTTTGTGATTTATGATTGCGTTTTGTTTGTTACCCCTCATGTGTCACAATGGTCTGATCAGCCATTATATATACCCTTGTATGTCATTTCATGCTTAGGTCAATTATGTGTGTTTGAGCAGTCATTTGCCTGGTTAAGTTTGCAGTCTTTGCCTGAGTTCAGTTTTGTTTCTTTGACCTCTTTTATGAGCTCAACATTTATTACTTTTGTAAATATAATTTTTTGGGGTTAAATAAATGAAAACTATATTTTTCTAATAATTCCTGGGACTCCTCCTGTTTTTCAACTCGGTCCATCACAAGGAGTTTGCCCCCTGACATATACTAATGTGCCACAAACAGGACTTTAATATCACCAACCATTCCCATTTTATTACAGTGTATCCATATAAATGGCCCACCCTGTATATATATCTTGCAGCACAAGTACCCACATTCAGAGATCAATAACACAAACAGTATTATTACCATTTAAACTAATACAATAAGTGCTTAATCTGACGTTATAATTAACTTACCTATTGCAATGTGCAGGCGATGTCTGAAGCATGAAAGTCTGGTCCAGTTGTTGAGTGCAACGGCTTTCACAATGTTGGCCCCGTTGTCTGTCATCACACACACTTGTTTGAGCTGAGGAACTCTTTTAAGACTTTGGCTATATTTTCCCCAGTATGGTCCTCGGGGAAAAAAACTTGTTTCGAGGCACTTGTTTTGTAGCTTCCAGTCTTTGTCCACATAATGTATTGTGAGGCTCATGTAGGGGTCCAATGTTCGGCTTGACCACATGTCCGTGGTGGACGCACTCCACTGAAGATAACGCATTTGACACCTCAGTACTTTAGAGAAGTATTTCTTGGTGGGTAGCTTGTAGCGTGAATTGAACGTTTTAAGCATCTTTTTGAAACCTTCTCTTTCCACACTATGAATAGGCATCATGTCCCTGGCTAAACAATGTGTCACTGCATTAGTTAGTTCCCCCCAGCGTTTGCTAGTTTTGTCATAAGGCATGCAGCTATTTAAAGCTACGTTGATTGTTTGAGGCATTTTGTTGGGTAGATAGCTTGGACTGGGAGTACTGTAAGATGCTAGTTCAGATTTGCCGCTACCACTCCCCGGAGTGTCGGACGCATGCGGCTTTTTAGTCTTTATTTTGCGGCTCTGGGTGGTTTGGGAAAATAAATTAGAAGTATTTAGCTGAAGTGTATTTTATTTGTGTTTAGTTCTTTTTTTAACTTGTACTTCTAAATTGGAAGATTATTGTGATTTTGAAATATAAAAATTTAATTATATCTTATTATTTTTTCATCGCTCAAAATAAGCGTCACACTCGCGGAAGCCGAAACGCCGTGCATTTATCGAGACTTTCGACCCCAGGTAGGCCAATTATGGATCTTCATATCCACATTATGTCGGCAGCTATTCTCCACCGTGAACTACGTTAAAAACAAACACCGCTCACGCCCCACAGATGACAGCTTACAGTCCTG